TTAAAGATCCCTTGGTGGTCTAAAATCGATAAGAGTAGGCTTCGGCCGCCACTCGGGCAAAATTCCAAATTTCCTACCAACGGAAAATATTAGGTGTGTCCCGCGCGCTCATATGACCTTATGCAGTTGCGAGCGCCGTTAAACACTTTACAAAAAAACAATTAAAATCCTCAAAGAAGACAAATTTGAGATCAGAGACAAAATGTCAACACACCAATATTAAAAAAAAGACGAAGAAAATATTTTAACGTCAGCTGCGATGAAGAAAACTAACGAAGGACGAGGAAAAAAAAAAAGAAAACTGGTACATGAACTACAACAAGAACTCACTCAGAGAAATAAAAAACAACACCAGAGTCCAGGAAAACACTTCAGCAGCCAACATCGAAAGCAAACAAACAGCCAATCACAAACAACCCTTCAGAGATGATTAAACGGCCTCTTCAAAAAAACAACGCAAGATTTCTCTTCCATTTTGATCAACATTTAACATTTCATTGAAATGTCCCTTGAAAACTCAGTCTACAAAGTTTTAAGAAAGATATTCTCTTAAACATATCATGAAGGACTTATATGTCTCTGTCTACACCGCTCGGCTAATCTCAGAACCTACGAGCCTAAACATCTGAATTGACAAAGAACAAAGTTAACAAATATGATATTGTCTAAAATAGACCATTATTTACATTGTTCAAACTAATTCACCAGAAAAAGATATGAATCCTCAATATTACAACCGAAATGTGTTCTGTAAATTGCTGGAAAAATGTGACCGAGGTAAAGAAATAAAACTCACAATAATAATAACCCGACTCAAAAAAGGCACGAAGCCTCTTAACGAAAGGAAAGACGTCTCCTAATGAAAGAAAAAAGCCTATTTATGAAAGCAAGAAGCCTCTTTATGAAGGAACCAAGCCTCTCTAAGAAGGAAAAATCAAAACATCCGGGTTGTTTTAGAACCAGAATGTGCTCTCCACCGTCGCTATTTACCGCCCACAACTAGTGTGTATGGAATCCTCATGTCGGGGAATTTGCACGACGATTCCTCCACAAGACGCTGAATTTCTTCAGCTGCCCCCAGGGATTGGATTTCTTCCCCGCTCTCCACTAGAACACAGCAAGCAACATACAGTTACATTTCTCAACACGGCACACCAGACTGTTAAACACAAGACAAATTTGAAATATATTTTCTACCCAACAAAACAAATATCAAAGCATTGATATATATCATATTTAGACAAAGACAATGAAAACTCTTCAAATATGACAGAACTCAGTCGCTCTGGGCAGATGAACAGACACGCCCTTTTAGTTTTAGTGAGATTTTTACGGCATTTGTGACACAATTAGAATATATAAAGGCTGAAGATTAGAGGTGCTGCAAATCAGTAACAAACACAAAAAAGAAGGAGGAAGGATATAGTTGTTAGATATTTGATAGGAAAGAAGGAGCAAACCACACTAGAGCACCTGTCAACAACCCATATTTTGTCTGTCTTTTAATAAAAATACAGTATATACATATGCAGTTATTACAATGTTACAGGAGAGCCAAAAAACTGAATATTGTTACCATGCCAAAAAAAAATAAATGTGTATGCTGTATTTTTAAAAATAATAGCAGATTTTTATCGTTAACGTGAGATTGAAGTGCTTTTATCAAATCATAAATGAAACTTTCCAGTTGATCGCCGAAGTGGTACCACCATAGACTTATAATTCTTACAAAATTCACACAAACAAACAAACATCTTGACGAGTGCACAAGACCACAGTACCACTTGCCTAGGTCACATTCTCACGTACTGAAGCCTACGATGAAGAATAAAGAAAAAAAAAAAAGAAAGAAAGAAAAGAAGAAAAGTTCAGTGAGTTCACAAAAACACCAGGACCAGTCACTGACCTGCCACGATGATTTTGTCCGGGACCGACATCCCCGCGTACTGCTGGCCGCCCTCGTAGGACCCGTTCATCTGGACGTCTCGACTGGTTGCACCCGACCCAACGGCGATTCTGTAAAATCATCGTAAAAGTAAAAGTGATTGTTATTGTTAATGACATACCACCCCTCCGTCGACCCAACATGATCGCTTAGAAGGCCGGCTGCCTGCTTCAACCCTACCCCTACCAACATGTTATAATAATAATAATAATAGCAATAGTAATAATAATAATAGTAATAGATTGCATTTATACAGAGTGCTCTATCCCATACGAGTATAAGCTCTGAGCGCTTTACATCAATCACATGATCACTGAGTGCAGTATACTTCATTCACACAAGACTTAACTTTTCACAGAACGGTAACAAGAAAATCAGTTCAACCGATAAAGAAGAACTTTCTCAACCATACGGAATGGGGTCCAGCACACAAGCAGGCAGACTATTGAGACAGAGCTATTCCATAAAACACTTTGGTCATTATTTTCAGATTTGAGAAAATTAAATTTGAAAAAACAAAAAAAAAGCGCCCAATCCAAAACCAAGACTTGGACCCTTGATAGTTTTTCCCTGAGAAAGAAATAGGGAAACAGAATGGAACTACTACATAGTCACTATGAGATGTCCCTTTGTACCCTATTTGAATAACTAATAACTGTCCGCCCCCCCCCGGGGCGGTGCCACTGACTGGAGTGTCTTTAGGCCACTCCCAAAGGGAGGACATCTCCCGCTCATGCACAGTAGAATTGTAAATGGGCTGATTCATCAATGTCACGCTCACAACTGTGCCTGATCTACAACAGGGAACTGCTGCTTTTTCTTTCCTCATCCTTACTATTGTCATTTCCTCTACTTCTTTTGTATGTTTGTCACTCTCTTGTGACCTGCTATTTCCGGGGTGCCTTGATAGTCGAAGCAGACCTTGTGCTGTTGAAGCTAGAGAGGTGAGCAGTCTAAGTCTGATTCCCTGTAAGGACTTCTCTGTTGACACCCACCCCTTGGCGCTCATATGACCTTATGCAGTTGTGAGCGCCGTAAAACCTCTACTAAAACTAAAACTAATAACTGTCCTTATTACTATTACAGTTTTATCTGGAAACCCTTACTGATTCTATAAGGTGAATCTGGGAAGATGCTGACGAAACGATTTCTTGGAGGGTTGTTGTTTACGCAGCTGCCCTTTCTGTCAGGAACAGATTCTAAAGAAAACTAACATGTGGGTGGTTGGCGGGTGCTCTGGTGTGGTTTGCTCCTTCTTTCCCATCGAACATCTATCATCCTTATCTCCCCTTCTTTTTTATGTTTGTTACTCTCTTGTAACACCTCTAATCTTCTGGCACTCATATGACCTTATGCAGTTGTGAGCGCCGTAAAACCTCTACTAAAACTAAAAAAACAGTAACACAGGAGATAAAGCAATTGGAGCACAAAAGGCCAGAGCTCTCATCGGACATCAAGAATATACAAATTAAGTACCCAGTTAGTTTTAGTTTTAGTAGAGGTTTTACGGCGCCTGCAACTTCATAAGGTCATATGAGCGCCAGAAGATTAGAGGTGTTACAAGAGAGTAACAAACATAAAAAAGAAGGAGGGGAGATAAGGACGATAAATGCTTGATAGGAAAGAAGGAGCAAACCACACCAGAGCACCCACCAACCACCCAGAAGTACCCAGTTAGAGAAAAGGCAAGCATTACTACATCATACCACTATTGGAAGAAGGAAATAAACACATCCCTGCTTAATCATAACAACAACATCAACGAGACAAACAACACCAACAGCAGCAACAACAACACCAACAACAACAACACCTGATCTGTGAGATGTAGTCCGGGCTGCAGCTCTGTGGCTGGACGTCGCTGTAGTCTGACCAACAACAACAACAGCAACAACAACAACACCCGACTGACCAACCAACCTATGAGACACTTGCATCTTACTGCTGATCTGTGAGATGTAGTCCGGGTCGTAGCTCTGTGGCTGGACGTCGCTGTAGTCTGACCAACAACAACAACAGCAACAACAGCAACAACAACACACACAACAACAACAATTGACCAACCAACCTATGAGGCACTTGCATCTTGCTGCTGATCTGTGAGATGTAGTCCGGGTCGTAGCTGTGCGGTTGGACGTCGCTGTAGTCTGACGGAAGGCTGTGGTCAGGGAGCTTGATGCTGCCCTGGGAAACACACAGGCGGGAAACATTCTTACAAAATGACCGGTCTCAACTCAGAATGTAAAAAAAAGGAGGAACTTTCCACGAGATCGCGACAGAAGATCATTTTCGCGAGACACCCATTATTAAATACTGTTTAGCCCTGGAATGCTGAAATAAAAACCATCAATTTATCAAAACAAGTTTATTTCATACCAATTTGAGGGTTTGGAAGATAATTTCAGGTAAAAGAGTCACTTACCAAATATTATTTACAGTCTTGCATGGAGAGCTGCCCCTCCCCCAGCAACTCTCTTTGCCGGTGACTGTTTCTTCAAAAGTTTAGCAGAGGAAATGGCAGTAGTGGAAATCCTCTAAATGGCGGAATATTGAGACCCATGCAAAAACAGACACTGTACAAGTCACAGATTTGAGAAACAATATGTTGGAGTCTGCTTAACACTTAGCCCCCACGGGACGCCGACCGACGACGGTAAGAAGTTATCCCTCTCCCCACCACGGGACGTTGATCAGCGACACTGATATATATAGCAGCTATAAAAACCTAGCAATGATCTCCTTTTGACATGTGTGCGCATTTCTTTAAGTTACAATTTCCTTTGTAAATTCATTTGTGTGGCCTTTGAGGTTGAAAATCATTTTGTTTACAACAACTGGAGTACATTTTTAAAATAATATTGAGTAGACCTGGCATGAGTGCTGCTTTACAGTTACGCCATGATATCAAGAATTCAGGTGAAGAATGAGCAAGATCTAATGTTTTCAGTTCCGATTCTAATTCCTTTTTTGACGAATATGTGATCATTACGTTCAATTTTTTCAATACGCTGAACATTTCATAATGGTTGGTTGATCTGAAAATAACACTGTAAAACAAAAGAAATTTAAAATTCCCATTTTTTCCCTTCTATTTGAGCAACATTTCTAAACCGAAAACTAGTCTAAACCGAAGAAAACCTGATGGTCCTTAAGATTTGGGATTGCGTAGACTCCACTTCCTTCCCCTACGTCTACCACCCAGGTAAAACTGTATCATAACATACTGCTTTAAACTCCAAACTGTGCAAAAGAATATATAGATCTATATATATTATTATATTATTACAATTTTATTCTTGTCAACAAAGTTTGGTTGCAAGTACACAACGAGTAACATTCATAAACACAAGCATGTACATATTCTCATAAATCTCACTTTTCTGTCTTTACTAGATATCTAGGCTGTTGCACTGGGGTTTGGTACCATTGTTGTAATTAAGAAGGCAAAAGTAAAAACTGTTTCTTGATGAAGAAGGTCGATTTATTTAACATATAATAAGAAAAAATGACATGAGGTCTGTCCTCTCTGGCTTCACTGACAAGACTGAATCATAATGAGCATGAGCACATGTGGTTAAAACAGGAAGGAGGAGTGAATAAAGATCACTAAGATCAGACAATCTTTGGTGTGGGGGTTGGCAAGATAAAATAAAAGTACAATTACAGGGACATAATTCAAGTTAATCATGGAAATATAGGGAGCAACAATCCAGGATTTATTGCTGCCCTTCTATATATTGATAATAAGCAATGTAATAGTCGAACATAGGCACCAATTACAATACACACTGTCCAATGACTTTCAAATAACCACACTCACTTCATAGTGCATGCCTAGCAGCCATCAGTGAGAGACATTATATTTCCAAAAAAATATCATAAAGCCAGGCCCTATCAAACCCCTCTGCGTGGGTGGTTGGCGGGTGCTCTGGTGTGATTTGCTCCTTTTTTTCCTATCAAACATCTATCGTCCTTATCTCTCTCCTTCTTTTTTATGTTTGTTACTCTCTTGTAACACCTCTAATCTAAACTTCTGGCACTCATATGACCTTATGCAGTTGCGAGCGTCGTAAAACCTCTACTAAAACTAAAAAACTAAACCCCTCTGCTAATAAAACAATAGCAATTATATCAGAGGAGGTCAATGAACTGACCTTAGCCATTAGGCCTAGATCTAGGCCTACAGTAAAATTCAGGCAGAACAATGAAAGACGCATCAACCTCAAGTGAACAGGCAATTAGTTCAGACAGCTGTTGAAACGTGTCAACAACTAGTAAAATTTGATCTTATCAGAGATCAGTTACAATCACTGTATACTACTGTTGTGAACGCAGTGAGTAACAGTCAGTGGTAATAAAATAACAGTCAATAACAATAAAAAATCAAATGGATCCAGATCATGACATTCTTCGCAATGACAATGTCACCACCTTGGCTAGTACAACATGTCATGATATTCCACTACCGACCACTAGTATTAGACCAACAACCACATATATTAATGAATAATTAATCATATATAGGACTTTGAATCTCTGAATCAGAAAGGATTTCTCCTTTGTAAGTGTAGATTAGGAGGCTAAGCCTAAGTCCTAAAGTAGCCGTAAAAAGCCCTTGCCCTTGATGAGAGTAATATTCTGTCCCCGTCGTTTTATGAAAGAAAAATTCTGAAATTATGAAAACAGAACCCAAAAATGTGAAATTATGCAAAAAATGATCAAATTTTGCTAAATTATGCAGGGTGCATAAAACCACAGGGACAGAATATATTCTAATGTTCATGATCCTCTCAGGAAGGAGTTCCTCAGAAGGCCGGCCGGTCCACCAGACCAGACCAGACCATCAATGATTTATTTATAGAGGCACCAGCCATCCATGTCCAGGTGCTGTTTTAGCCTCTTTTTCCTGTATTCGGATTAATAATATCTTTTTGCCAATTTATTGGTTCCACTTCTATGTACCCCATATCCATGGTTCTCAATCTGGAAATCGCCTATAATTCGCTGTAATTGTCTCCCCCCCCCCTCCCCCCACTCCCTCTCATCACCCCGGTCCACCAACAAAACACAAAAGAGGGGATACTGTGAGCGGGATGTAACCCTAACCCTCACCCTCACTCTTGTTATAGTTTGCTCAGTGGACATTGTCAAGGACATGATGGTTAGTGCCGGCCCTCTGCACAACTCCTCCCTCCTCTCATTCTTTTAGTTAGTTAGTTTTAGTAGAGGTTTTACGGCGCTCGCAACTGCATAAAAGGTCATATGAGCGCCAAGGGGTGGATGTCAACAGAGAAGTCCTTACAGGGAATCAGACTTAATCTGCTCACCTCTCTAGCTTCAACAGCACAAGGTCTGCTTCGACTATCAAGGCACCCCAGAAATATCGGGTCACAAGAGTGTAAAAAACATACAAAAGAAGTGGATGAAAATGACGATAGTAAGGATTAGGAAAGAAAAAGCAGCAGTTCCCAGTTGTAGTTCAGGCACAGTTATGAGCATGACATTGTTAGATCAGCCCATTTACAATTCTACTGTGCACTAGAACAAGAAATGTCCCCCCTTTGGGAAGGGCCAAAAGACACTTCAGTCAGTGGCATCGACCCGGGGGGTGCAAACCTAAAAGGAATTTGAAATATTTGTAAATGATGAACACACAGATATTAGATCTAGTACACTGACAGACACTACAACAATGTCAATCAATGTCATAATGTAGGCCTAGATTAGAACAGTCAGATCTAGATCTAGTAGGGTAGTTTTAGCCTACGTCTACGCCCCGTGCCCTACTCTAAATGAAGCCACTGCCAATTATATTACGAAGTGACTATTTTTCAGAATGCCTGGGAAAATAAACTTGATCTTTATTTCTCCAAACGGTTTCTGTTCTCGAGATTCTTTTGTTATTTGTGAGATTTAGGCGTCATCTTTCATTCTGCCATTCTGCGACGACTGGGAAGAAGCATTCTCTTGCATCGAATTCAATTTCTAGAGCAAGAGATTTTTAAATGTTTGAACATTCAGATACTTCAGTTTGGTTCGGGCAAGGTTCCCGGATTATACTTCATTTATATATATATATATGCCTTCAAAAGGTACTCCGAGAAAACAAGACTGCTCGACCTAGGCAGTAACCTGTTTGCATTTAGTCACCCCTGAGGCAAACTAAAATCCTTCATGTAAACAACAAAAATAAAATCCCTCCTCGCCCCCCGTTCACACCTTATACTATACACACACACACTCACATACACACCAGTACTAGATTCTAGATCTAAATCTAGATCTACTTAAGTAAGAAACTGGGTCCTGTTTAGGGATATTAGTTTTGACCCCACCGACGATTACTTCTGGTTCTAAAGGATTACATGATTTTGATGCTCGTGCCGATATGGAGAGATAGCCCCCCTGAAACCTCCCCCCACCCCCCGCCTTGTTAAAAACGTGAAATTTTAGCCTACTGCTCCTTTTGTAGTACAGGCTAGATCTACTGATCAATGATTGTACATGATGTACGATCATTGTACTGATAAAACATTGATTCCAAATATTTAAATCGATATCCAGTACTCTGTGTGGATGATGCCAAGTCTAAATCTGAACAGACGAGACCCAGATTCTTAAGCTGTAGGCTACCTGCCTTATTATAGAGGCAAGACACTAAGGACAAAGGTGGTATCTTCCTATCCTAGAAGCCTCATAGTCAGTAGAGTCTAGATTTAGTTCAGTCATGTCCAGTAGATCTAGATTCTAGATCTAGATCTTTATTCTTGGTAGTCTAGATCTAGATCTAGACTTCTTTTTTTTTTATAGTAGAGGGTTTTACGGCGCTCGCAACTGCATAAGGTCATATGAGCCCCAAGGAGTGGGTGTCAACAGAGAAGTCAGTGATCTTGTA